AGTTTCTTCTAAAAGACTTAGTGAATTTGCTTATTCCCAAATAAACGTCTGAACATGTTTTCATTCATCTTTGCTTCGGAGTATATTGCCAGTCAGAAAAAAAATGGAGTCGCTAGTCAAATTTATTGTCAGAAGTTCATTTACTATTTCCAGACATCCCCTCGTAGCTTATAGGATAGCATCCATCTTCAGAAAAGAATTTTAAAAAATGACGGTTATTTTTCAAAGACTGTGATATTTATGCTCACAATAAGATCGGAATGAGTAATACAAATGCAAGATTAAGCTCATCTACGTTTTTATAGATATGTTATAAACTTTTAATAAAACACAAAGAACTCTTTGAACTGCTAGTTAAGCATGATATATTCTGGACTAATATTAGAACAGTCAAGTCTTATACACGAAGCAAATCACCCGCATATGGATAGAAAATAAATTCAGTAAATACGTTCACAGAAAAAATAGAAAGTGTCGTAAACACAACGATGTATCTTCTCTCCAGACTTGTTTTAATCTTTACAGTCACGCGTTTCTGATATAACTAGAAATCCTATCATTATTTATTAATGGCGACCAGAAGCTTCACAAAATCTGATATGCAGATGACACAGCATTCATAGCAGACACAGAAGTTGAACTACATCAACTCCAAGAGAATTATGTAAATCTAAATCAGAAGAAAGCACTAACAATCAATTGTAAGAATAGAGAACGTATGGTTGTCAGCAAAAGGAACAATGCTACGAATTGTAGACACCGACAACATGAAATTAGAATAATTTAAATATTTGGGAAGTATTTTAAAAGAGGACTGAAATGTGACGTATAACCCTGAAGACGTATTGGGATAGAAAATAATGATTTCTAAAATTTAAGCAAATTTTAAGAAACGGGAATATTTCGTTAGAAACAAAAAAAAATAGTGTTTAACTGTTCTATAATATCGTTCCTGCTATATGACAGTGAATACTGAATATTCTCCCTACATATGAAGATGATACATGAGACAGGAGAAATGTGGTTCTAATAAAAGATACTTAGAACACCAGGGATTACACATATGAGCATCGACGACGTTTAAAAGAAAATGGAATCAAAAAGGGCGCAATTTCTTGGAATCAACAAGAGGTAGTTGTAAGCTTAGAGAATTTGACATTCAAATGACACGTTGAAGGCAAGTGAAGACGGAAGAACTCACTGAATAGCCTATGCAACGATCTTATGTAAATGGTTGGCAGAATCGCACACGGGCTGAAGAAATAGAGCACATAGAAGAATTACGTCAAATAGGGCAACCTCTGGAACATAGCTATCTTACTATGATATATCATCGGCAGCCAATGGCACAGCAATGACTCTGGAGTCACACACGAGCGGTCCCTGACAAAGACCAAACAGGTAATCAAAAAGGATGTAATCAACATAAAAAGTATGGCACAACAACCAACTTTATTTGATATAATTAAGAACAAATTACTTTTTGGAAAGGTAAAAAATGAGACTCTCCATATTAGATTCTGAGATGCATTCGTGGACAAATAAAAAGTTCTATGAAATGAAGATGGAACGGTAATATATTCAGTTGTCTATGTTTGAACATAAATTTAGATAGCGTATTTTGTGCCTCTGTGGTCACCACACCCTCCATATCTCTATGTGTGATTCTATCATCACAAGAGTGGTTCTCGAAGATTTTTTAATCCAGGGATCATTTTTAATCTTAATTTGTTTTTGTGGGCCAACATAACTATTCAATGAATGTTTTTTCTTACTAATAGATAAGGTTTGGAATATATATTATAGAAATATTAAATGTATATGATTTACTTTGATGTAAATCTAATTTAATGAAAATAAACTTAACAGATTCGATAGATTTTTCATAAAAAACATTTCAAAATAGATAATTAATATTTTTTAAATAAGCGTAGATTTATTCCACCGTCATTCCAGTCCATCTCTTAATATCCACAAACCAAGATATGAGTAGTCGACCTTGGTGCGACTTATCAAGGAGAATGTCCTTATCGAAGCAGCCTCGTCGATTAATCTGCCTAATATAACGGAACTTTCTGATTGACATCTGCTCTCTCAATACGTAATTGTTCTGATGGTATCTAGCACCGACTTACTAGTGCGTCTCGGTATCCATGGTACACTAAAACTCTGTGATATGACCACAACTTGAAAACATCAATCCCATGTCTTTCCCTCTTAGTCAGTGACTATGTCTCACATCCGTATTTGGCGATGGCGACAACAGTGGCTAGCTGGTCCAATGTTCTGTTGTATTGGCTAGAAAAATGTAGAAATAAATCTCCCGTGTGTTTGCGTTCTTTGACCGATGGAAATAGCGTAAAATGACGATCCTGAAATATTAAACAAGTTAATCTTTTCTGGCCTAAGGTAGCGATATTGTCTACTCAGTGCTGATTGAAATTAGTAAAGACTCATTTCCAGGAAAGCCAGTTCCAAAACTGTGACGCCATAGCGAGAGACATTTGCCTGACAGCCAAGGTGACGGAACAAATGATCATATTCTAAACAATAATATCGCGGTATTTCTCCGGGGAAATCACAGAAAGGTACTATTTACCTACAGAATCAGAAACCTTTTGTGGAAAATAACATCAAAATATCCACATTTGATAAGATTAGCAGGGTAAATATCTGATAAGCGATGCATACAGTAAGGATCTAATTCACTCGAGATAGGAACGGCTTGCCCAACTAAAATTCTCTTGGTATTTGTCTAAGCTTGTTTTAGATTATTCGTTAGTTCTCTTTGTTTCTCCAGTCATTATTATCACCTCCGAGTATTAAAATGGCCTGTTGCTCTTTTTTCATTATATCCCCCAGAAATTTCATTTGTCTCTTTTTGATTATAAATATATCATTTCTTGTAACTTATATTTTACTTAAGACATCCAAATTATTTACATGTTCTGTCCATGTTTTATTTCAAATATGTCGTTACAACCACATTTCTGTCGATTCAAGTTACTTGCTATCTATAAGCAGATTCTTCTGCATTCAGTACAATATGGAACGTTACTGTATATCGCTTTCGAGTTAACTTTTAAATGCATTTCTAAGGTAGAATCCCAGTTTGCGTTAAACTATTCTGAGAGGAAGTAAATTTGTTAAGATGTTGATCTTGTTTCCCTATGCGTGATTGTTAACTTTTTCATTATGAGTTCCATAAATTCCAGCTGTCTCTTTCTGATTGTAAATATAGGTGATATTGTAGTTCCTGTTTTCCTTGAAGACTTCCAGATTACTCACGTATCCCATTTATGTCATTTGTAGTGGGAGAGCCACATGCCTGTTACATCAAGTTTTTCTTCATATGTGACCGACCTGTCCAAACTTCTCTTTCATATTGGAGAGTTGATATCACAGAACACAGTTTGTTTCTAATTATATTTTCCTAATAGTTCACCTATTTTCCGGATGATACATTTTGTTGTTTTTAAACATTAACGTCTTTTATGGTTTTAGCCTTTCATTGGAAAAAATCATGTATTTAATGATGCCATTATGAAAAAAATATCCCCACATCAGTATTATTAAAAAAAACCAAACAAACAAAAAACGAGGTGATATATAATTTCACTTTTGAGTAAAGATTGATTGGTAATAAACATTTAAGAAAAAGGTTGAAGACATTCGTATTTTCTTCATCTTTGTTGTTTTATTCCCAGCATTTCGGCCGTTGTGCCCTCCGGCTTTCCTCAGGTATATATCGATGTGGATAATTCTAAAAAGAACTCTTTATTTAATCTATAGGGATAGACTGTTCTCATTCCACTGCTTATGGTTAGGTAATGCCTATTTTTTTATGTTTTTGCTTGCACGTTTCCATTGAGTGTAACTACACAGCTTGATCCAGGGATTGAACTCACAACCAAAATGACAGTAAATTCACGAACCAACTTTTTTAACCACAAGACAACTCTCGGAGTTTATATTTACCCTTCACTACTGATTAGGCTGCTACTGCCACTTCTGCTGCTGGCTGTTGTATTTCGCTGCTGCTGCCCGTGTTTTCGATTACTATTACTGCTATTGAAGATTTGCTATCATTTATTTTTCGGTCGTTATTAGCGGCCCCCTTATTGTATTTAATTTTATGCTAGACCAACAATGACGAGGACAATAGTCTGAATATACATAGTGTAAATAATAAATCCTTGTCCCAGAAATTGAGATAAAAATATATTCGAAGGTTTTAGAAATTATCGTAAACCGACATTCTTGACTTTTGTAGATTGTCAATCCCAAAGAATTCCATTCGGGGTTACACTGACAAAACATATAGAGTGAAGAACAAAAGTTCCGACTAAATATTTTTTAAAAAGTACGTTCTTCATCGCTGATTATGCATTTCTTTAATAAAATTATAATTTACATTACACATATAATTAAAATAGTCTTTCATTGATTTTCGAATACCTGACATTACTTTCTAACTGTTTTCTCAAGCATTTATCAATAAAATCATTAGCAATGCATTTATATTATGTATATGATTGTTTTAGTGTCTCAGTCAATCTTACATTAATTCCTGACCAAGAACAATCTCTTTCCACCTGCTTATCTCATTCATTTGAATATTAATTCGTTGTGCTTCTTCTTTAAATCCATTAGCTTAGTGGATTAACGTAATTTTTAATGAATTTCGAGACATAGTGAATTGTGATTCCTATACCGAGACAGACAGTATTTACTTTGAATTAGTGGAAATCGGTCGAGGGGTAACTGATCTGTACAAAATAACTAAACGAGACATCACTTGATCTACGCAGTGGAACGAGAAGGAACTATCCACCTACATTAAATAAAGTATTCACCTAGAAATTTCCTGAGATTGACCCGGCATAATACACATTTGAAGAAGGCCGAAAAAGAAATTTAAAAGTTAAATTTAACATTTCAAGATTATGTGTAATAGCCTCAAAATAAATATAACCTTCGTCTAATTATGTCCTATAAGCTTACGGTCAAATCACGCTGAAACACCGGTTCTCGTACGATCACCGAAGTTAAGCAGCGTACTTAGATGAGGGACCGCTTGGGAACACCTGGTACTGTAAGCCCCCAAAGTCCAACCCTTACCTCACAGTCGGTGGGGGGGGGTGTAAAACGGTAGTGTCAGAGCTATGCCGCCCGGAACTCCGTTCCTGGTAGGGCCACCCAAGGCGGACAGGTCTGACACACACGCCGGCTAACAAGGGCTCTGGTGAAAATCCAAGGAGCGTCTGCATCGGTAACCGGCGGCTTCTGGTCGTTCCTGTCTCTGCGTCTGTGGGAACCCCGCGGCAAGCAAGAACGTTTCTGGGTACCCTACTTCTGTAATTTATCCCAAGAATCTTCTTCTCATAACAGGAAGAAGCCGGCTCAATCCGCCCAGGGTGAATGCCGCATCAGTACAGTACAGTAATTATGTCCTATAGGACGAAACGCGTCACCCGAAAAATAAATTTTACACTCTGTCATAGATTTTCTTAAAGTTTTTTTTAATATATTAAGTTGAGTAGAAACTCCTGACTCACATATGAAGCCGAAAAAAAAGAAACAAATTTTTATGCAGCAAAACCAACTTTTATTCTTTAAATTAAAGTTCACCATTCTCGACGATCTTCTGCCAGGGAATATCCAACATCCCAATTTGTCCAAGATACAAGACTGATAGCTTCAAATAAAAAAAAAAAATCTTCCTTCACTTCCTCAAAAGTGGTCACGGGGAAAGTGTGCCATTGAGCGGAATAGGCCATATTCACTCTGGGCAGTATCACCACTGAATGGCGGATATGGAAGAATTCCTTCACAGTCCATCTGTTTGAAATTCTCCTTTGTCAACCTGTCAGTGGGACCTCGCATTCTCTTGCTGAAACAAAGCCTAACCTAGCTTTCCCAATGCATAATACTCCACTTTTAGTTCTTCGCACATGCGTCCGAGATGCTAGCAACAGAATATCGAATTGATTAGGCGACCCTGTGGAAAACATTAAAATGATGTTCTCTTTGGAAATAATCCCATCGGACAGAGATAAGATTTTTTTTTATATTCTTTCGGGCTCCTAATTGAATCAAGACATTCTGCCCAATTAGTATTTATTCACACACACACACACACACACACATATATATATATATATATATATATATATATATATATATATATATATATATATATATATATCAGCAAATGATGAAGTATGCGTTTAACAATAGTCAAATGGAAATCTACTAGAAACTGACAAGACAATACTTAGCCGCATGGAGTTGTGGAAGTGGTTTATAGAAACATCAGCCGTATCATTATTTAACTTTTTCACGTTAAGTTCCCCTACTGGCCCTGAGCATTTGTTTTTCTTTTACCATTTGTATGGTTACTATTACATTTATGGTATATATATATATATATATATATATATATATATATAAAAATTTTTAAACACTGATATTATATATATATATATATATTATAATGTTATATATATATATTATCATATTATTTATATATATATATATATATATATATATATATAAACACTGATATATATATATATATATATATATATATATATATATATATATTATAATGTTATATATATATATTATCATAATATATTATCATAATATTTTCGCAGCTGCATGGGATAGCGTACACACAGTCTTTAATCATGTTCCTCTCTATGGGGGGTCTCACTCGGAAAGGAATATAAAGGAGAGACAGGCCGCCCCTCAAGGTAAGGCTTCAAGAACACCAGAAAGCTGTAACGCGAGGGGAAGTAGAAAAATCAGGCGTGGCTGACCACATATGGAGAGAGAAGGAGATCACTGCCCCTGTGGGATCATGTTGAGATCATAGACAGGGAACACCATTGGAAAATTCGTAAACTTAAGGAATCAGCACATATGCTAGGCCACAAAAATCTCCTGAGCCGACCAAGCATAGAAATAAATACAATATGGGAACCAGTAATAAGGAGTGCCAGAGAAAAGCAATGATAACAAAGTTGCAATATGAACTCTGGTAAAGACATGCATTGATAACAGCAAAATTGCAATATGAGCACTGGTAAAATGATGCTGAAAAACATTAGGTTTATAATACTCAGAAGTTCATACCCAGATGTCCTCAGGACATGGCACAGTGGATAAAGGCGTTGGTTAGATCCAGTAACAGACCCAAAGAAGGTGAGTTCAATTCCTGGTTAAGGCAGTGGAGAACTTTCAGAGGGAAAATTAGCAGGAGATAACTGATATCCATCAAACATGGCACGTGGAATTAGAACAGCGATCGAAATAAAGGGTTCAGTTCGAAATTCCAACCATAACGTACAACGGCCGAAACGTTGACAAATATGGCGACAAAGATGAGGACAATAGTCTGACTAATGTAAATACTGTACATAATATCTCATCTCAGAAATATAAACAAACATATATATATTATATTATTATCTATATTTATATATAAATTATATATTATTATATAAATTATATGATATATATTATAATATATATTATATATAGTACATATAGTACGTATATATAATATATATTATATATATATTATATATTATATCTATATATACATTATATATATATATATTATATATATATTATTATATATATTATATATTATAAATATATTATATATATTATATTATATACATATAATATATATTTATATATTATATATATTATTATATATATATATTATTAATATAATATCTATTATATATATATATTATAATATTATCTATTATATATATATATTATAATATTATCTAGTATATATATATATATATATATATATATATATATATATATATATATATATAAATTAAATTATTATAATATTACCTGTATATTATAATATTATTATAGAAAGATTAAGATTATTAATAAAAGATTATTAAAAGATTCAATCAATTAAACACCCCTCGGTCGGGGAAACGTAGTTACATAAGCTGGATTGACCAATCAAAATACAATTATGTGAGAATTTAAAAAATCTTGACAACGAACCTGGTTATAATAATTAATTAAAGCTTTAATGTTAGGGTTAAACTAAAATAGAATTCATTCTAACTAATTAAGTTTAAATTTTACTCTAAAATTGAAAATTACCAATTTTAAATTTTAAATTTAATCTCTATTAATTTTAAAAAATTCTAAAATTATCTAAAGAAGAAACTGAGTAATAATACACGTTTTGTTATTTATTTTTTGGTATTGAAAGGCGAAAATTAAATTAGATAAATGCTAAAATCTAATGATGCTCCGAGCTTCGTTACAACTTAGATAAAGAGATGATGTGGGAAGGGGAGGTTGAAATCTTGCAAAAGACTATACATACACAATCAGATTATACTACACGAACACGTAGATAGATCTAGATATATAAACACGCAAAAAAGCGACTAAACAGGTAATAGGCGTCTACAACCCTTAAAAAAAAACGACAACATATACATATAATGAAAGGCACATATAAGCGATTATACACACATACATTGATAAAGACACGCAAATATACACACCAAGAAATATTAAAATTTGAAAGTGTTAGTAAACGAATTCAAGCATACAATTAAAATATGACTTACACTCGCAAAGATATATAGATAAAAATGGATAAATAGATAAAAATGTATTATGGGTAGAATAGAAAAAAATATTCGTTAATGAACAACATAAGGAAAAAGGAGACTAAAATATATAGAAATGTACAGAATAATAAATATATACGCATATAGAAATAAGAAAAAAACACATTCAAATGTCCAGGCAAAATATAACACTTGAAAATAACATTATCTAATATATCAACAAGAATATATATATATATATATATATATATATATATATATATATATATATATATATATATGTGTGTGTGTGTGAGAGAGAGAAAATATATAGAAAATAGGAAAGAACTGGCTAGGTAAATAATCCAAAGTTCCTTAGTATTTTAGTTATTATTTTAAAAAAATAGTGCTCGATACGCGAGTTGGAATCATATTTTTTTAAATAAATAATATATATATATATATATATATATATATATATATATATATATATATATATATATATATATAGATAGATATATATATGGGAACACCAACAATTAAGAGGTAGTACCACGCTCCTGAAACCTCCTGATCAGAGGCCATGCTGCTGGACAAAGTTTATCGACTTACTGTGGACGCGGATGTAGTTTAACATATTACCCAGGACGGTCTTACACTATACAATATTTATATATATTTGTATAAGATCACTCGCTAGTATAACTACCTCTATTTACCTATATGGTCAATTTGCGTGGTGTAATGGTAGCAACATTGTCACGGTTGAAACATTACAACTGAATAGTGCGTTTGCTCTTCAATTTCGGCTTTGTGCTACATCTAAGCTATACTTAGAAAACCCCTATGTATATAGTGGCACCTCCATGTGTTATAATGGTTAGAAAGTTATTCTCCTTAGATCAATTACGATTGAGTTGTGAGTTCAGTTCTCACTGGGAACTCCATACTTTTGTCCGTGTTCCGCATATAGGCTGCACATAGTAAGTCCCAATGTATATAATATAGTTTAGACCAAACACAATAGATAAAAAATATAACAGATTCATATAAATATGATTATAGTGAACATATATATATATATATAAACACAAATTGTATTTGAGTAAAAAAATTATCTGGTCTATTTTAATTATGGAAGATAACTTATTCATCACGTGCTGTCTTTCTTTATTATAGTCCAGATAACGAGTGATATACATTAATATTAATGGATAAAACTAAATATGTTAATTGCTCTTGTCACAACACTGACTTTTACACCCAGTCTCCCGAAGAGTGAGTGCAATTTCACAGATCTCAGAAAAGAAAAGAAAGAAGTCACCATATTTAGTTTTTTTATATATATATATATATATATATATATATATATATATATATATATATATATATAGTTATAGTTATAGTCGTCTGAAAAAAAACTTAGGTGTTTTGGCTTGGAAATGAACAAACTAATGTCCAAGGAAAAATAAGGGTTAAAAAAGAAAGAAT